CCCCAAAACCCCAAAACCCCAAAACCCCAAAACCCCTATACTAGCAATAATCATTGAATAACCATTGGTAAAAAATGTTAAGCCTAAGATGGCTTTGTTAGGATCCTTTTTAGAATCCTAAGTCATCAATGAAATCACCAGTGACTCCTTCATGGTCTTCAATGTCGAACCCAGTCTCGCGGTAGATTTCGTTTCTCAAGTCTTGTAGGGTTTCTACGTCTCTTGCGTTCTCAGCGTCTCTGATCCATTTCTGGATGGATCTTTGAGGAGTCTTTTTGCCCGAGGTTTTCAAGGCCTTTTGGTATTGCTCGAAATCTCTGATTCCATCGACACAAACATTCTTATAATTATCTAAAGAGGCTTCTTTTTCTTCTGTTTTCTTTCCCATGTTACCCATAGAGTATTTGAAAATATCTCCAAGGTTGGAAAACTTTTGATTTCCATTTGATATATTACTATTAAATGCAGTTTCTTGGGATCCAGACTGGATCAAGTCGAAACATTTGTCAACTCTTTCAGAGAGTTCATTGATCTCTTCGTCATTCTCAGTCGCCACTCTCTCGACCTTAGCTATCTTCTTCAGAGCCTCTGTGGCCTGGTCCGTGGCCGCCTTAATCTTAGCAGTGTTCTTCTTGGCTGTGTCTCCAGTGGCCTTGATTGAATTGGAGTTCTTGGCCACTGCCACCTTGACCTTCTCTACCTTGTCGTTGACTTCAGTGAACTGGGAGGCCACCTTCTTACTGTAGTCTTTGATCTTCGAGTCGATCAAGACTTTGGTGCTGGAGATTTCTTCGTAACAGCCTTTGATGCGGTCTCTCTGGAAGTCTTCGTCTTTGTTGATTTTAGCTTTGAATCCATTGAGGTCGCTCATGAGTTCGGCTTTAAGTTGGGCAATCATGGAATCAAACTCTAGCAAATTGAGAGTTGCAGCAGATTCCTTGGCTTCTTTCTTGCTGACTTTAGTGCTCTTAACATCAGTAGAAGAGCCTCTTCCATCCATCCTAGAGCTGAGCTTCTTGATTTCTTTTATGACGAACTCTTGTTTAGCATTTTCTTCTCTTTCAATTCTTGTGAACTTATCTTTAAGTTTCTTGGAATCTTCAATAATTTCATTTTTGATATGCACAACTCTTTCGAAGAGAGCACTGATCTCGACCCCATTCTGGTCTTTGAGACTCTGGATGCTAGCTCTGATCATGTCATCAGATCTATGGACATCGTCGTCAATCTCGTTGATCCTCCTGTACACTTTGTCGCTGAGTTGTTTCAATTTAGCTTCCATCTTTGCGAACATTTGCCCAACATCTCTTTGCAAATCCTCGATGGCATCTTCATCGATGGAAGACTTCCTGGGAGCATTCAGAGCAGTCTGGAAGTCGTCAAGTTTTCTCTTGAAAGTGCGGACTTCTTCAGTGGCTTGTTTCCTTTCTTGTCTGATTTGGGACTGTACTTCTGCAAACTTCTGCTCTAGTGTACCAATTTTCTGATCATTCTTATCTTTCTTAAGTTGACCTTCAATTAAATTCACTTTCTTCTGAGCATGAGTAACCATATCTTCAAGCTTCTTGATCTTGTCACTATGAGTTTTATCAGTATCCTTTGCTTTGAGGTTTGAAGTCTTGAGGGTCTTGTCGAGTTCCTTCAGCTTAGAGCCCAAATCAGTGGATACGAAACCGACTCTAGACTCGATCTTCTGAATATACTCGATCATTCCACTATGGTCTTGCTTAACACTTTTAGTGAAAACATTAAATTGCTGGCTAAGTGTAGCAAGTTCAGACTGGAGTTCCTTGTCTTGCCCCTCAACTTGTTGCTGAAGCTTAGTGATTCTTCCTGAGAAGATATCTAGTACTCCACTGTCAACCTTCTTGCCGTTATTTTTAAAGCTCATATCTTGAGCTGCGTCAATGAGAGCTTGTTCTTCTTTTAATCTCAATATCTTTTCATCAACTTTTTTCAAGATGGCTTCTTTAGATGAGAAAGTTTTCAAAGTTTTTGCATGCTTGGTTAAAATATCTTCCACAGCATCGATATCCTTCTGAATGGTAAAGATGGCGCTTTGAACTTGCGGTGAAACAGTTGGTATAGCTTTGATTTGGTCAGCTATCATCCTCTTGATCTTCTCCTTTGACACTTCGCCCTGCTTCAGCTTCAAAGTGTCAACAACAGCTTCAAGGGCATCAATTTCCTTGTTGACACGGTCAAGGTCTTCCTTCGTGAAGTCGTCGGCGATGTCAGCTACCTCCTTGAGCTTCTTGGCAAAGTCCTTAGTTGTCTTCTGCTCAGACTTCGTGACCAGAGAGTTGACCGTCTTCAAGGTGACTTGTTCTTGGGAGAAGTCGTAAGATTTAATCTTCTTGGTCAAGCTGTCGATGGAAGTCTGGTTTTTGGTAATGTTTTTGGTCGTTTTGTCTAAAGAAGCTGTCAGGGTCTTGACTGAAGCCTTGGCTTTGTCAGTCTCTTGCTTGAGCTTCTGCATTTCAGACTTGGACTGAGTGAGAAGAGTAGTGATGTCTTCAATCTCGTCACTCTGGTCAAGATCCTTTTTCATCTTTGGAATGTCTTTAACTTTACCATCAAGCTCTTTAAGATGAGTATCAATTTGTGCTAACTTTTTAGCAACGTCATGCTTCTTAAAGTCGCTTGGGTTGTCTCTGTGGTACTTCTCAATACACTCCTTAACTATCTTCTTAGTGTCATCTTGTTGGGACTTAATTTTGAAAAGTTTGCTCAAAGAGTTTTCTTGCTTACTATCCTTAACACGAATTTCTTCAAACTGGGTCTCTAGTGATGCTAACTTCTTTTCAATTTTATTTGTCTCGCTTTTAGGTAAAGATCTAATAGGAAGGCTGTGACCATAATTCTCCTTGATGAACTTATATGACTGAGGAGAGCTAGTGTATGCATCAGTGCTGGATCCCATGAACTCTTCTCTCAACTTCTTGATTAGAGGTTTGACGATTCTGAGTACGTCTTTTCTGAAGACATTGCTGAGGGTAAGGTTTGCGATAAATTTAGGAGTATTTTCCGCAAACTCGCAATCGTTGGGAGACCCCCCTCTTGTCAAAGATCCTTCAGAGCTTGAGGCTTCATTAAGCTCATCAAGAGCTTTACTAGTCTTGCTTCTTGAGTATCTTGCTAGGGAACGAGCTCTAGGAGCACTTGAGTACCCTTCAAGAGGTGCTGAGAGTCCATAACTCATTCCTAGCAAGCCGTACTGGCCTAAATCAGCTGCACATCCTGCATAAGTTCATCTGTTAGCTTTGATCGAACTTCTTCTTCCAGACTCATAAGCAGGCGCGCTCAACATATTGTACCTATCATATGCATCAGAGTATCTATTTGAAAACGGGTTTATATTCATCCTCGCGTTCTTAGCTGTGTTAAAAATAAAACTTAAAATGAAATCTGCCTACAAGGCTTATATGGGGTTTTGGGGTTTTGGGGTTTTGGGGTTTTGGGG